TAAAATTAAGTTCAGAAAAAATAAAATTTAAAAAGAAAAAAAGAAAGAAAAATATAAAAAAGATATATATTAGACTGGTAGATAGAACAGGATCACCCACTTAATTTTGGGAGTATTTTGGTGTCTTAGAAGAAACTACCTCCCAAAATTTTAAAGAATGAAAAAAATATATAAGGGTAAACACAATGAAGGGATGGAATATGACTATAAAGATGGAAAGTTTTTAAAACTTTCTAAAAAAGGAGTTGATAAGTTAAGTTGGCTGGGAGAATAAAGAAAAAGAAAGTGGAGAGAATTTGCTCAGGCTGGAGACTAGAACAAAGCCCTGTGTTAGATTTAAGGTGTATTTTGATCTATTAGAAGAAGTTGTATCCCAAATTTTATTAGAAGAAAAATCCCTATGTGCATACCAAAAATGAAGTTAGATACAATGAAGGATAAAATATGGCTATAATAATGAAGGTTCAAAAAAGATTTTTTTTTTTTTAACTAAAGGTATATTGTTAAGATAAACTAGTTAAAAAAACGTTAAAAGAGGAAAGGGTAAAAGTTAAAAACATTTTAGCATAAAAAAATAAAACTAAAAAAATTAATTAACTTCGCAAGACTAAAGAATAATGGGGTGAAAACCATGAATTTCATGCTTTGCTCTCCCTCCTCTGGAATTCCACTGTTGTCCTTGATAAGTGAACTTGGTCTTGGCTGGATTTCTTATTGACCTTCTGGGGGAGGGGTCTGTTGTAGTGATACTCTAGTGTGTCTGTCCAAGGCAGAATTGCACCGCCCTTACCAGGGGCCAGGCTAAGAATCTGCTTGAGTTTGCTTTCGGGAGCTTTTGTTCCCTGAACACTCTCTAGAGTTCCAGAGGACGGGAATGAAAATGGCAGCCTCCCAATCTCCACCCGGAAGAGCTGAGAGCTCAGGGCCCCACTCTTCAGTTCACCCTCTGAGAAAGGCGCTCAATCATTCCCGTCTCCCTGGCCTCTGGCTGTGCTCCAAGCTCAACCAGCCTGTGACAAAGCATCTCTGTCTCTGGCACACAGCCCTTCCTGAAGTCTCCAAATCCCGCAGATACCTATGCTCTTCCAGGGGGGTCTCCTGAGACCTTGTGGGGTCCCTTCTCAAAGAGCAGTGGTCTGTCTGTGCCATGAATCACAATTTAAGGTAACCCCATGTTGAGAGCTCACTCCTTGGCTCCTTCTCTGTAGCCAGCTTCCCTGCCCCAATACCTCTGAGCTCTGAGACACTCAGACACCCCTAATCCTTCTGTTACCCCACAGGACCTGAGACCAACTGTCCCTATGTGGGCTTCACCCCAGCTTAGCCTCTGGAGAGATTTCCCTCAGTGGAGCAGGTTTTAAAAGTTCTGATTTTGTGCTCCATTGCTCCACTGCTTGCCAGGTTCTGCCCCTCCCCACGGTCTATCTTCCCGTTGCTTTGTATTCACTTCTCCCCTTGGTCCTACCTTTCAGAAAGTGGTCAATTTTCTGTTTTTAGAATTGCTGTTCTTCTTCTCTTTGATCTCCTGTTGGATTTGTAGGTGTTCAGAATGGTTTGATAAGCTATCTAGCTGATCTCCTGCTACCTGATGTCATCTCAGCCTGCTACTTCTCTGCCATCTTGACTCCTTTGCTTTTACTTTCTACTGGCTCATCTTGATCTCCTCTCCATGTGTGCATAATTTTTTTCCACCAGCCAAGAGTATACAGAGAGCTCATGTCAACTCTTCTGTTGTTCCTTCACTAACAGCATTTCCCTATTATATTTATGGGAGCCACAGTGTTTAACAGAAAAACTGCAACCTCCAACATTTTTTTTTTTTTAATTTTTCTGGAGTGGAAAGAATTTTATTGATAGCTGAGAGAAAGTGCAGGAGAAACATTCCTACTGACCATGTAGCCTGTCCCCTTGGGCCAGACTAGGCCACAAGACTTCTCTCATCCTGACCTTGAGCTTTGGGTCATTTGGGGCCCAACTGATGTATACCCAGAGGCTGCGGAAGTCTGCAGCCAGAGTCTGGAGAGACAGGATGTGCAGTTATGGTTCCTGAGGCTAGGCCAGAGTCAGCAAGGAAAACACACTGATTGAGATCTAGAGTCTCTTGGGTCACAGCCCCAAGTCTGATGAAAAACAACTCCTCCCAGCCTCCTGATTCCTAGCTAGTCATCTTCTCCTGATGCACATATGGGTTTTCCCCTTTCATTACTAAGCAAAATCATCACTCTGAGTTGCAAATTCAATGGGCTATTTCAGTGCCTTTTCCACTGCTGATCAAGTCTCCCCTGTGGCATCAGCACCATTGCTTTCTGAAGCTTCTCCAAATTGTGGAACTACAAGCTTCTGGATCACTGAGCTATGGTGGACAAGCAGGGAGGCAAGGGAGCAGTACCGGGCAAGAAGACTATAGATATACTTCTTCTTACTTGAATCTCTAGGAGATTTTCAATAATAGATAATTCATAAAATATTAATAACCTTTGATCAATTATCAGAACTCTGAAATTGTTGCCTTTGTCACTTGTCCTCTTCATTTATTTCTACTAAGATATTTCTATAACATGTCCTGTGTGTAAAATTACTTTAAAATTTGAAAGTGTCTATAAAGTAAGAAAGAATCAACTATGTTTGTTATTGTAAAATTCAAATAAAAGCTCTTGTTTGACTTCTAAAAATAATTTGTTTTCTCATAGTATTTGTTGAGCTTCCTCATTCATTCTTCGTGGATTAGTAGAGATTCCCAGAACATCTTTTTTAATTCATCTGTGTGGCCAAAAGTCTCCACCTCCTTTCCTAAAGTGTAAGTTTCTTGACCACTTGTTTTATGCCTTAAGAGGATTAATCTTACAAAGAATAAATGCAATATGTGAACAATTATATAACACAATTGTGAAAATGTTTCCATAAAAAATGATATGGGATATATTCAGATTTAATTGTACAGCTATTAGTCTAAATCAACTATTTATTCTTCACAATATTGTGATTCATATTTTTAAGAGTAATGAGATATAATTCTCCTTATTTCAGGTCATCAATTTCTTCAGAGAGTGATAAGAAGTGTCCCTTTTTTCAACTCTGACTTAAACAAAACTTCTTTCAAATCCTGCTTGGATCAAAAAAAAAATATGTTTGTAAGCTCTGGGCATTTTAGTCACCTAATTTTGGTATAATGCTATCTTACCATCTATAAAGAACATATTTCTCATTTCTTCTAAAGTTATACAATTATCATCTCAGAATATTTTTCAGATATAATTTTTAGAGCAATTGTAGATTCACAAAAAATTGAGAGGAAGATACAGAGATTTCCTCTATTACCCCTTTATACACAAGTGCATGGGCACGCTTGTTATCAGCATCACTCACTAGAATGGTTTCTTACTGAAGGTCCCACCAAGATGATGGAAGAGTGGGGGACTCCATTTCAACCAGTCTCCTAAATTTAGCTGGAAATCTACCAAGCCACTCTGGACACCCATGAAATCAGCCTGTGATGAAAGATTATACATGTCTGGATCTCTATGGGGCTGAGAATCATGTGTGGAGAGGTACAAAAGATGGAGTTGGGATTGCACAGATAGATGTTGCAGGACAGAATGGGGGAGAGCCAAAAGAAACCAGCCATTGGAAATTAATTCCCCAGTTCAAAAGCACCCTGTGCTCGGGGACCAGCAATACCTTGGAGATGGGTGGCTGCAAGACAGAAAGGGACTGATAACAATGTTCAAAAAGAACAAAGGGGCTTAAGGGACATTGCAGGCACCAGGTGGCCTAAGTGTGGACACATGGACTGACCACAACCACTGCCCACTTATGCCTGAAAGGACCCAGTGGGGATTTGAATCAGTGGTCCCTGGGGCTTGGTAACTACTGATGCCACCATAATTGCCTCTACCACTGCAGCTGAGAGGACCCAACTTTGTCTGGAGACCACAGTCCCTGGAGCAGCAGCCACCAGGGCCATGTTCACCCAAACTGGTATCGCTCATGGTTCTTGTGCAGGGGGTTACAGAGACAAGTTGGGGGTCTTAGGCAACCACTCAGAGGGTCGCTGGGAATGGACACCACCTGTGGGAGGCTGCAGTATTCAATGGGGTTTGCAGAGGTGGAGTCTATGTTCTGGACGATTCAGAGAGGAGCAGAGGGTAGCTTCTCCCTAAGGCAGAGGTCTGGGTGTGGACAGCTTACTTTGCTCTGACCCTCTGAAATGGCTCAAAAAGTCACCAGAGAAGAAGAGCCTCCAAGAACAAAATCCTGAAAAATCAGTTTCCATAGAGCCCAGTCCCATGAGAGGGGCCAGGCAACTCTACCCAAGCAGGATTAACTGAAAAACAACACAGCAGACGCCTCCTCCAGAAGACAAGCTGAAAGAACAGAGGACAACAACCACAGGGTCCCCATGAAACTATAAAAACCCCAACACCAGGGGAAAATAATGTATTAAGTTCCTGATATTGCCTCACAGCCTGTATATTTCTGATATACAACCTTCCTCTCTCTTATTTTTAATTCTTTCTCATGATCCCTGTTCTTGGCTGTTGTTGTTATTGTTGTTTTAAGCTACTTACCATTCCAACTAGATGTTTAATTAATACAACATATTCCATAGTAACTTTTTAACTTGAGTGTTTCATACATATATTTTTTCTTATATATATATATATATATATGCTTCAACGAAGTCCTTTTTTCCCTATTCAATAGTACCTTTATATACACACCAGTTTTAATTTCTCTGTATGTCTGGGAAATTGAGTCCTCTAACAAAGATAACAAAATACACCCAGGAAGAACAGAAATGGGCATTCCTTTCCCACACTGAGGGATTATAACCATCTTCCCATCAGCCTCCCTTGTTATTTATTTATTTATTTCTCTTTTTATTTGTTTGCTTGTTTTTGTTTTTGTACTTTATAAATATTACTCTTGGGGCTCATTTTAGCTGGAATTTTTTTTCTTTTTCTTTTTCTTTAACTATTCCTTTTTCTTTCTTTTTGGAGATAATATCTGTTTGCTCCAAAACTTCCCAGGTGCTCCTTGACTGGATAGTGGTTGATATTTTTGGCTTGTACAACCCCTCAACCACAACTCAACAGAATGATGATGAGGAGGAACTCCCAACAAAGAAAAGATTCAGAGACAATGGCTTCTCCCACAGATCTAATGGATATGGATCGAAACAAGAGGTCAGAAATAGACTTCAGGGTAGCAGTTATGAAGATAATATTCAGCCTAGAGAAAACTGTTAATGACAACATAGATTCATTAACAGCAGCAGTGAGGAGAAGACAAGATGGCAGGGAAGTAGGAGGAGGCGCCCTTTCAATCTGTACCCTAAAGTGAGCTGATTACCTACCAAAGACTCCGATCACCCATGAAATCAGCCTGAGATCAGAATTATACACATCTGGATCTCTACAGGGGCAGAAGATGCCAGTGGGCAGGTAAAGCGGAGTGGGAATGTAGGACTGATATCGAAAGATAAACAAAAGGGGGAGGGAGTCACCAGAGGTGACCGATTGGAAAGTAATACCCCTAATACGAGAGTGTCCTGCATCTGGGGACCAGCATTAACTTGGAGACTGGTTGAAAGCACTCAAAAAGAGTAAAGGATCTCTGGGGAGATATTGTGGGAATCAGGGCAGCTAGGGACAGGAGCTTAAGTCCACGGTCCCAGGACAGCCTCCCCTGGCGCTGAGCCAGAGATTGTGCAGTGGAGAAACCAGGTCTACGTCCCTGAGCTGCCAGCACACCTGAGAACGCGTGGGGTCTGGCTCCTGTGAGGGGCTGGGAGCCTCGCCGGAGGCGGAACGCGGAGCCGTGGTATCAGAGCCTGAGACGCGCACGCGACCCACACCCTCCCCCGAGAGAGGTGCGCACAAGCCTGGTGCTCTTAGACCCAAAAAGACCAGGCACTCCTAGCCCAGGCCAGCGGAAAAATCTCAGTGTGCAATCGCTGCTTGGAACCTCTCTGGCGGTCTGGAGCTGCCCAGACAGCCGCCGCTGTGGTGGTTTTGGGTACAAGCAGAAGATCCTGCATCCCCAGGGACTTTGACTCAGAACCTGCTCTGCCAGTGGCCAAGGGGGAATTTATATGGGCTCTGCAGCACCCACAGGGGACCAGATTGAGGCTTCTCTCTGAGAGGGAGGTCAGGGTGCAGTTTGCGCTTTCCTCTAAACCTACAAAAGCCATCAAAAGCGGTCAAGGTGAGAGAAAAAAAAAAGTGAGCATAGAAACCTACAGAGAATAAAAGCCTGAAAAAAACGGTTTCCTGAGAGCCCACCCCCTTGAGGGGGGCGGGAGGACTTAACTCAGGGAACATCATTGACTGAAAACCCATGAGGCAGGCCTCTCCCCAAGAAAACCAACCAGGAAAGAAAAAAAATAAATAAAAAAGACTACAAGATAACAACCCCCACTACATCATAGGACAACTTTTATTTTTAACTCGTTCCCACTATTCTGGTTCATTCATTTTTATTTATTTATTTATTTTTATATAGATAATTTTTAAACCTATTTACCATCACAGTGAGATGTCCAGTACATCAAATTCCATAATAACCTTCTAACCTGAACTTTTAGATACATACACCTGTGTTTTTCTTTTGCATTTCTATTTAAAAAATTTTTTTTTTAAATTTTAGTTTAGTTTAGTCTAGTTTATTCCTTTTTTATTTTTATTTTCTAATATTCATATAGAGTTAAACTTCAAGGTAATCCCCTTCCACCAATCAATGTTACCCCTATAGGTAAACCAATTTTTAATCCCCCTTTATCTTAGGAAAGTTGAGTCCTTTAACAAAGATATCAAGATACATCCAGGAAGAATCAAAACATACTCCCTCGCCCACGCTGAGAATTTATAACTTCTCTCCCATCTTTTTCTTCCACCAGTGTTTCTGTGTTTTTGTGTTTGTTCTGATAGTATATAAATCTTACACTTGGGGTTCTTTTTGACGAGGTTCTTCCTTTATTTGCTTTTATATATATATATATATATTTTTTTCTCTTGTCATATACTTTTATCAGTCTTTTTGTTTGTCTGTTTTTGTTTGTATACTTTATAAATCTTACCTTGGGGCCCATTCGGGCTGAACCTTCTCTTTTATCTTCCCTTTTTTTCCTGTCTCTCTCTCTCTCTCTCTCTTTTTTTCTTTATCTTTTCTTTTTTCTCTCATTTCGGTGGGGAATCCTGATTGCTCAGAAGCGTTCCAGGGTGCACCTTGACTGCACCATGGTCGATATATCCAGCTACATCTGTTCAGTCATCTCTCACCAAAATGACTAGGAGGAGGAATGCCCAACAGAAGAAAAGTACAGAGGATGGGTGTTCTGCAACAGAGCTAATGGCTATCAACATAGACAATATGTCAGAAAGAGAATTCAAGCTAACAATTATCCAGGCAATAGCTAGGTTGGAAAAAGCCATGGATGACCAAATGGAATTGATTAGGGTAGAACTGAAAGCGACCAGGGATGATGTTCACAATGTTAGAGCAGAACTGAAAGCTACCAGGGATGAGATTCACAATGCTCTCAATGAGTTCCAATCTAATCTAAATTCTCTCAAAGCTAGGGTAACTGAGACAGAAGATAGAATTAGTGATCTGGAGGACAAACAGATAGAGAGAAAGGATTAGGAGGAAGCCTGGAACAAACAGCTTAGAAGCCACAAAAACAGAATCAGGGAAATAAATGATGCCATGAAATGTTCCAACGTCAGAATTATTGGAATCCCTGAAGGGGAGGAGAAAGAAAGAAGTCTAGAAGATATAGTGGAACAAGTTCTTCATGAAAATTTTCCCAATCTCGCGAATGGAACCAGCGTTCATGTACTAGAGGCCGAACGGTCTCCACCCAAGATTATAGATTCCAAAAAAACATCAAGGCACTTGATAGTCAAATTGAGGAATCATAATTGTAGATACAATCTCTTGAAAGCCACTAGGACAAAGAGGCTCCTTACTTACAGAGGAAAGCCCATCAGAATAACGTCAGACCTGTACACAGAGACCTGGCAAGCCAGAAAGGGCTGGCAAGATATATTCAGGGCACTAAAAGAGAAGAACATGCAGCCAAGAATACTTTATGCAGCAAGACTGACATTCAAAATGGATGGAGAGATAAAGAGTTTCCAAGACTGGCAAAGCTTAAAAGACTATGCAACCACCAAGCCGACACTGCAGGAAATATTAAGGGGGGTTCTATAAAAGAGGAAAAATCCTAAAAATAGCATTGAACAGAAATATAGAGGCAATCTACAGAAAGAAAGACTTCAAAGGTAACACAAGGTCAATAAAAACGTATCTATCAATAATCACTCTCAATGTGAATGGCCTAAATGTTCCCATAAAATGACACAGGGTTGCAGACTGGATAAAACGACAGGACCCATCCATATGTTGTCTACAAGAGACCCATTTTGAACCTAAAGATACACCCAGACTGAAAGTGAAAGGATGGAGAAGCATCTTTCATGCCAATGGGCCTCAAAAGAAGGCTGGGGTAGTGATTCTCATATCAGACAAATTAGATTTTAAACTAAAGACTATAGTCAGAGATACAGAAGGACACTACATAATTCTTAAAGGACTATCCACCAAGATGATCTAACAATTGTAAATATCTATGCCCCCAATATAGGAGCAGCCAATTACATAAGAAAACTCTTAATCAAGATAAAGAGTTATATTGATATGAACACATTAATAGTAGGAGATCTTAACAAGCCTCTATCAGAAATAGATCATCGAAGCAGAAAATCAATAAAGAAACAAGAGCATTGAATGACATATTGGACCAGACGGACCTCATTGATATATACAGAATATTCCACCCTAAAACAACAGAATACTCATTCTTCTCAAGTGCACATGGAACCTTCTCAAGAATAGACCACATATTGGGTCACAAATCAGGACTCAACCAATACCAACCAATACTGAGATTATTCCCTGCATATTCTCAGATCACAATGCTTTGAAACTGGAGCTCAGTCACAAGGAAAAGTTTGGAAGGAACTCAAATACCTGGAAGCTAAAGACCACCTTGCTTAAGAATGCTTGGATCAACCAGGAGATCAAAGAAGAACTGAAACAATTCATGGAAACCAATGAGAATGAAGACACTTTGGTCAAAAACCTATGGGATACAGCAAAGGCAGTCCTAAGGGAGAAACACATAGCCACCCAAGCCTCCCTCAAAAAAATTGAAAAATCCAGAACACAGCAGCTGTCTCTACACCTTAAAGAACTGGAGAATCAACAACAAATCAAACCAACTCCACACATAAGAAGGGAAATAATCAAGATTAGAGCAGAGATCAATGAGGTAGAAACCAGAGATACAGTAGAACGTATTCAATGAAACTAGAAGCTGGTTTTCTGAAAGAATCAATAAGATCGATAAACCACTGGCCACACTAATCCAAAAGAAAAGAGAGAAAGTCCAAATTAATAAAATTATGAATGAAAAGGGAGAGATCACCAAGGAAGTAGAAACAATCATCAGAAGTTACTATCAACAGTTATATGCCAATAAGCTAAGCAACCTAGATGAAATGGATGCATTCCTGGAAAACTATAAACTCCCAAAATTGAACCAGGAAGAAATCGACAACCTGAATAGACCGATATCTAACGATATCGTAACGAGATTGAAGCAGTGATCAAAAACCTCCTAAAAAACAAGAGCCCAGGACCTGACAGATTCCCTGGGGAATTCTGCCAAACTTTCAAAGAAGAAATAACTCCTATTCTCCTGAAGTTGTTTCAAAAAACTGAAGCAGAAGGAAAACTTCCAGACTCTTTCTATGAAGCCAGCATTACCCTGATCACCAAACCAGGCAAAGACCCTACCACAAAGGAGAATTTCAGACCAATATCACTGATGAATATGGATGCTAAGATTCTCAACAAGATCCTAGCAAAGAGGATCCAACAGCACATTAAAAAGATTATCCACCATGACCAGGTGGGATTCATCCCTGGGCTACAAGGATGGTTCAACATTCACAAATCAATCAATGTGATAGAACAAATTAATAAGAGAAGAGAGAACAACCACATGGTCCTCTCAATTGATGCAGAAAAAGCATTTGACAAAATCCAGCATCCATTCCTGATTAAAATGCTTCAAAGAGTAGGGATAAAGGGAACATTCCTGAACTTCATAAAATCTGTCTATGAAAGACCCACAGCAAATATCATCCTCAATGGGAAAAAGCTTGCAGCCTTCCCGTTGAGA